ACAGTGTACCGCAATCCCTCAGAAGAGGGCGAGGTGTGCGGATGTTATGGATTCGGGTGGAGAATTTGCCCATATTGGTTCAGGTAGAGGTCCAGCAAGAAAGAAACGCGCCGTGATAGATGATGCTTGGAGCGAGTGTTCCCAAGGATGCGGAAGGATGCGAGCTCCCGAGATGGGCGCTCCAGTCAGGCACCATTCGCATGGTTTGAAGGCGGAGGTGCAGGAGGAGGACAGCCCCGGTTGAAACAAAATCCTGAGAGGGAGGCGGGGGGAAGAGGTATGTGACGGATATGAGAGAGCCTTGCAGCATCGGTCGATCGATCAACAGGGAAGCAAGCATCAGGTTGTAGAGAAACCCCGTTGGAAAAGTGTGGCATGGGTGCTTCTTCTCGCAGCTGATTGTATGTGTGTGTGTGTGTGTCACTGCTGCGTACGAAGCCGGGAGCTTCCAATAGCAGCGGATGGAGCAGGGACTGGGGCAGCTCGATGCAGGCGGAGGGCAGCATGAACTAACTGGTCAGAGATACCATTGTCGAGAGTGTATATGTATAGGCATCTATCGTAATTTAGCACCTGCTCGATTCCAATGTGCTTCTCGGCGCTTCGATTCGGTTGGTCCCGTAGTCTAGCGGTTAGGACATTGGACTCTGAATCCAGTAACGCGAGTTCAAATCTCGCCGGGACCTTTTGTTTCCCCTCCCCTCCCTTCGTGCGTCTCATCGAAGTTTTTTATTTGACAAGTTTTTTACTTATTTAAAACTGCATTAAAAATGCCATGTAACTTGATGTTTAAGTGAGAAGTCTTGTGGTTCTTAGGAGACTTCCACAATGCATTTTTTTATAACTAATATATATGGAAGAAAAAATAGGGCCATTCTTAGTCTTATCAATGCGGTTCTTGTATTCTAGTCTTAGTTTAAAACTTTCTAGCAACTTTATATTTGCAATAGCTATTCTAGTTCTTTTTATTTTTTATTTAAATCTTTTTTCTTTAACTTTTTCTTTCTTTAATGATACATCAGCATATTATCTTTTAAGTTTTGTTTAGATTTATGTCCTTGGCCATTTGACAAGAATAACACTCAAAATATCAAAAAATTTACTTATTAGAGAGTGGATTAATCCATGCTTTGAAACCATCAAAGCATTTGGAGGTTGCAAATTACTCTCTTCTACATTGGTATTGTTTTTTTAAGATCAAATTTTTATATATTTTCTTTTTTTAGTTAGAAATTTTGAAAACCTTACAAATATGCAACATCAGAAATCACTAAAGAAATGTGGAAAGGTTTAAGCCATTGAGTTGCTAACTTATGGATTTAGATTGATGTAGGAAGTAGACAATTAGATTTGAAAAGTAATATTTGGTCATCCTCTCAAAAGGTCTTATGTTGCCGATGGTTATTTGCATACTGGTTATGTCCATTCTATTAGGTAAAGAGGCAATATTGAGCTTCCTATAGGGCAATTGTAAGCTATTGTATAAACTCTTCCATTGTTAGGTTATTTTTGATGGGAGGATGAAGAGTTACTAGCATAATCAGATACTGATTGGTATTAAGGAGAAATGGTGAATAACTAATACTTACTAGAATATTATCATTGTAAGTAAATTCCAAGGATGTCAAATATTAATCCCAATCATTATGGTAAACCACAACAAATACCCATAGCCTATCTTGTAAGGTCTAATTTTCATGTTTTATTTGTCTATCCATTTGAGGATGGAAGGTCGTGGACATGGTAAGTTGTATACTTAGTAGCTTCAAGAAGGCTTGCCAAAAAGTCCCCGTAAAGCAGAGATTTTGATTTGAAATGATGACACAAGGTAATCTATGGTGACAAAAGACAATGTCAAAAAAGACATGTGCAAGTGTTGGAACATCAATATCAAATTGCACCATAGCCAAGTGAAATTGCTTTGCAAGTCGGTCCACAAAGATAACAACCATGGTGTAATAATGAGACGTCTACAGTAAATACGTAATGAGGCCCATAGCCACTTGCTTCCAATGTGTTGTAGATAGTGGAATTGGCTGCAATAGCCTAGGAGATGTCATGTTATGTGCTTTGTTATATTGACATGATTTGCAAGAGCATACAAAAGCTCAAACATCACGATCCAAACTTATCTAAAATCATGTCCCTTAAGATTCATTTTAAAATCTTCATATGCTTTAGATGCCAAGATATAACAATGTCATATTTGGATCCATCTGGTCTTCCATGTTTCATAACTTAAGGAGTTTCATACTAAATTAAGGCACTTTATGGATTGACACTGACCACCACCGCCACTAATTGTGATTGATGATCAACAAGAGTATAAATTAGACAATATTTTGGAGCATTGCTACTTTTGTCGTGGCAATGGATATTTGCAACTTCAATACAAGGTCCTCAGGAAAGGCTATTCCATCCACGATGCAATATGAGAACTTATACGAAATCTCATCTATTGTCAAGAAATAATCTAAATGTACCATCAAGATTAAACAAGGATGTTCAACATTATTGGAGGAGGATTAACTATAATAAGATATAGATAAGATAATCATATTATTTATGTATGGAGATAAATTATTGGGGCCGTTTTTAAGAAGTTTCTAGAAGTTTTTAGAATTAGGACTAGATTGGTGGTTCATATAGGGTCTACCATAAAACATCCTAGAAGAATTAAAGACAATTATTTAGATAGGGCCCACCTCTAGAACCTTCTAGGAGGACGATTATTAAGATAAGACCCACTATTAGAGACATTCTAGAAAGTTCCAAGATGATTAGATAAAGTATATATAGTGATAACCGAGGCCATTTGGAACTATCAATTAGATATAATTTTGGTTCCTATCTCTTAGTAAAGATTGGTTCAAATTTGTTGTTCTCTAATGTTATATTTTTTTCTCCTCTATTATGTCTTTTATGTTCTATTCTGTTTAATTCTATTCAATTTTGTTTTGATCCATTTTATCTTACTTTGTAATGAAATATATGTTGGTACAAACTGAAAGGATTTTAGATCTTTAAGAGAATTCAATCCCATTTCAATGATTAACTACTTTTGAAGTTGGTTAAAGTAGTAGACAAAGTTTGATGCATAATAAACATCAAATTATTCATTTGTTTGTATATTTGTACTATGACATTCTTCAATCCTTCTAAATTTACTACATTTGTAAGGTTTTCAAAATTTCTAACTAAAAAAAGAAAATATATAAAAATTTGATCTTAAAAAAACAATACCAATGTAGAAGAGAGTAATTTGCAACCTCCAAATGCTTTGATGGTTTCAAAGCATGGATTAATCCACTCTCTAATAAGTAAATTTTTTGATATTTTGAGTGTTATTCTTGTCAAATGGCCAAGGACATAAATCTAAACAAAACTTAAAAGATAATATGCTGATGTATCATTAAAGAAAGAAAAAGTTAAAGAAAAAAGATTTAAATAAAAAATAAAAAGAACTAGAATAGCTATTGCAAATATAAAGTTGCTAGAAAGTTTTAAACTAAGACTAGAATACAAGAACCGCATTGATAAGACTAAGAATGGCCCTATTTTTTCTTCCATATATATTAGTTATAAAAAAATGCATTGTGGAAGTCTCCTAAGAACCACAAGACTTCTCACTTAAACATCAAGTTACATGGCATTTTTAATGCAGTTTTAAATAAGTAAAAAACTTGTCAAATAAAAAACTTCGATGAGACGCACGAAGGGAGGGGAGGGGAAACAAAAGGTCCCGGCGAGATTTGAACTCGCGTTACTGGATTCAGAGTCCAATGTCCTAACCGCTAGACTACGGGACCAACCGAATCGAAGCGCCGAGAAGCACATTGGAATCGAGCAGGTGCTAAATTACGATAGATGCCTATACATATACACTCTCGACAATGGTATCTCTGACCAGTTAGTTCATGCTGCCCTCCGCCTGCATCGAGCTGCCCCAGTCCCTGCTCCATCCGCTGCTATTGGAAGCTCCCGGCTTCGTACGCAGCAGTGACACACACACACACACATACAATCAGCTGCGAGAAGAAGCACCCATGCCACACTTTTCCAACGGGGTTTCTCTACAACCTGATGCTTGCTTCCCTGTTGATCGATCGACCGATGCTGCAAGGCTCTCTCATATCCGTCACATACCTCTTCCCCCCGCCTCCCTCTCAGGATTTTGTTTCAACCGGGGCTGTCCTCCTCCTGCACCTCCGCCTTCAAACCATGCGAATGGTGCCTGACTGGAGCGCCCATCTCGGGAGCTCGCATCCTTCCGCATCCTTGGGAACACTCGCTCCAAGCATCATCTATCACGGCGCGTTTCTTTCTTGCTGGACCTCTACCTGAACCAATATGGGCAAATTCTCCACCCGAATCCATAACATCCGCACACCTCGCCCTCTTCTGAGGGATTGCGGTACACTGTGTCTCCCTCCCTCCCTCCCTCCCTCCCTCCCTTCCCTTCCCTCGCCTGCACATCTTCTCCATTTCTGTTGCTGCCTCCTTTTGTTTTCTCTCCTCCTCCTCCTCCCTGTCGGTGCTGCACCCTGCGTAGTTCCTTCCGTACTAATTAGTGTTATTTCGTCAAGCATTTCTCACCAGTAGAGAAGAGACTATATTCCGTTTCAATGACCTTGGATTGCAGCATGTGACTCGGTTATTTTGTTACGTCGATATTGATGGTATTCTTCAGTACAAGTGATGTTGTTGTGTATGTATCCGAACAATCGTCACATGGAGCAGGTGCATATATATCTATCTATGTCTACCTTTATATCTATCCATATTTTTTTAATGCATCTCTACCCGGATATTGTGTTGCCCGTTAATAATGTAGAACTCTTCATAGTCTCATGTTGAAGGCTTGGAGCTTGTGCCATTCGACACAACACAAATCCTTTGTCTGCATTAGACGTCGAGTTGCTCGTGTGTTACAGAAGTCGAAGCCAGACGGTTAGATCACCCACAGCAAAGCAACATCCGTCTTCCGTTTCGAGCCACAATTGTAGTAAATTAACGAGTTGATTCATACGTCTTAGTCACTACCCATATGCAACAACTTAAAAATGTAAGAAACGGGTTATAGTTGTGCAAAAATCACTGATGTTTCCTTCAGTACTACACGTTGATGTTGCAAGCTAAGTGATTATGTGGGTAGTGCACAACTAGCATCCGCTATAAATGGTTAAGTAATGTACAAAACTTCCCTGCGACTTCCAAGTGCAATGTAAAATGCAGCGATTAATATATACATGCCAAGTTAAGAATGCTAGTGAGACAACTTATGTAGGAGCCGGGGTTGTATCAATTTGTGAGGTTTTGCCATCTCTGTAGACAGCGGGTCCGGAAGCTTGAAACAGATCCTGATGGAGCTAAGACAACCGACGTATCTTCCAAGGATCAACATCCACCTGCTACTTCAGACCCGTGATGAAATTCTTTGAAAGAAATGCCTCCGAATGTAGCCCGCCTTTTTTCCTTGCTCTTGGAGCTATGGTCGGAGTTGTAGCTGGAGTTGTCTTTGATGGTTTTGAGGGTGTCGACCACTTTTGACATGCTTGGTCTGTGAACCTCTTTCTTTTTTAGGCACTGGAGGGCTAATTCAGCGAGCTTCAAAGCCTCCTTCAAAGGGCACTTAGCTTTGATGCGTGGGTCTAAAATAAGTTGCAGCTTAGCATCATCTTTGAGAAACGGACCAGCCCATCGCACAAGGTTCTTCTCGTCTCCCATGAAGGATGCGTCACGGCTGTACTTGCCCGTGAGAAGCTCCAGCAACACAATGCCAAAACTGTGTACGTTTCTTTTGGCGTGAGCCTGGCTCATCTTCTTCATCTGGACACAAACAATGAGCTAATTGAGACACAAACGATTCTGCTATTCTTGTGTAGTTCAGGAGCAAAACTTCGGAAACATTATCGAGAAAATTTTGAAGTGTACCGTTTGGAAAGGGAACTTTTGGTCGGCAGGCAAACTCGCCACTGTCAAGCCATATCCTGCCAATCTCGGAGTGAAATCCTTGTCCAAAAGAACATTGGAGGCTTTGAATTCTCGGTACAGAACTTGCACAGGGGCTCGATCATGAAGGTACAAGAGCCCTCGAGCTGCACCAAGTATAATGCCGATCCTCATAGACCAGTCCAACTGCGTTGTAGAACGAATTCCGCAAAGGTAGTCGTGAAGGTTTCCATTAGGATGGTGCTCGAACACAAGAAGACGCTCTATTCTCTTTACTTGGTCGGATGTCACATCCTCGTGCGCGCAGTAACCTTCGATCCGGCACAAGTTCGTCTCCGGCAACTGCGCCAGCACTTGGATGTCCGATTTCCAGTTTTTCAAAGTCTAGAAATTACGCACACAAAACAGGAAAATTATGACATTATTGAAGAAGCACACCATTGAACAAATTGAGACCCTAATGCCAAAGCATTCATGTTCAGCAGCGTGCAGGATAACTAACCTGATTGTCGTTAGCTGTAAGTCGAAACACGACCGTTTCTTTCTTCAGTCCTAGTTCAGAAGCTCTGTCCTTCATCCACACGCGATACACTTCGCCTAACTCCCCCTTCTCGATACAACACTCTGGTGCAAATTCGTGTGTGGCATCCAGAAGCTCTCTGAAATTGTAAGATTCAATGCCAGGAACCAATTTGGTCGCCACAGACGGTGATGGAAGGGGCAGCCCTCCCCTCGTACACTTCTTCCTTAGCTGATTGCTCCCTGACCCAACCTCACTCAAACCTGAAGGCGCGGATGACTTGTTAGGCGAAGTGGATACAAACGAGCCCGCGTCAAAATTGATTCTCAATTTAGAGCTCGAAGATGTGGAGTCACTGCTGCATGTCACAATCTGAGGCTCCGGCAGCGGTAGCCATACAGGCTTGACTACATTTTCATATGTTTTCGAATTCGAGACCGGTCGTGGAAGAGGTTGCGGACGGCCTCCAAATCTTCGGCTTCCAGCCGATTTACTGACACTGATTCTAACTGAGGCCTTCGCCCCCGAAGCGCAATCGTATGAAAATACACTGAGAAGAGGATCTGAGAGAGTTCTAAAGGACGGAGATTCAACCACATCATCATTCAAAGCCGGAGGTGAGAACACGAAGGACTCTTCCTTGGCTTCAGAGTCGGTGTTCTTGGCAGGCGTTGTCGATTGGTCGGACAGTGGCATCAATGTGTAGTTGGTGCCACTTTTTTCAAGCTTCCCTGCAGGAGCTTTGTTCATGTCTGCGTCGGAGGAGCTATCTGTGGTGAAAACACCCAGATCTGCATCCTCGTCACTAAAAAATTCGTCCTTGGAGGAGCTGGAAGGAGAACCCGGCTCATGGCGCTTGCTTTTGGTCATAGAGCCTGTGAAGCATACAAGAAGTCCAAAATCTCCGACTGATCTCCGAAACAGAAACTTGCACTGCTTGAGTGGCTTCTCCATCATCGATGCACCTGGCGTTCTTACCTCGGATCAGATTCTCAGGTGTGCAGAGTTATGTGAGAGTTCGACCTTCCGAAATTGAAGTGGTCTCGTTTGATAGGTAACATTGATAATGACACATTGAAGGAGAAGGCGTCTGCAAAACGAAACCAGGATGTGTAGCCCGTGATTTCGATGCAGATCATAAATTGCAACATCAGTGCAGCAGTGCTGACAAGCACTTACAACGACTGCGACATGCTGAGGAGAGCGTAGATCTAAAGCGCTTGTACAAGCCGACAAAAACGGCACTCACCACAACTAACCGATTTCAAGCTGGCCCACATACACAGATCTAGAGTTGCAATGCACTGGAACTGGATTTGTTGCAATATCGAAACTGCCCCTCCAGCGCAAGCATTCATTGATACCACTCGACCTTAGACGGCCCGCAACAGGAAACGAAAACATCGCCCAGGATCGCCCACCGTCTTTCCGAAAAGTCTTAAAACAAAAAAACAGAAGCGCATCGGAGTGACCCCCAAGGCAGACGCCGCCGAAACAATCTAGCTGACTCCGAAGGCTAATGTGACTAAAATCTCACAGTCGACGCTAGAAAAGATCTAAGTCTCGCTACCCATCAAGTCCAGATCGATCACCATACGACCTACACCTGCAGTGCAATCGCTCAACTGTCGCCGTTAATCTAAAGATGGTTTTTCGCAATGGCAGAAAGTGTGGGACTGGAACATCCGGCGGAAGGCGGGCGAGAGCGCGCCAGTGTGTGGGAGGGGGCGTGGATTCGTGGAGAAATCCGGATTGTGGGGGAGCGAATGGCGGAATCACTGCAGAGTTCCCGACACTTCTCGCCTAAATCACGAAATCACGTGCCAGTGTGTGTATCCCAGCGCCGCCTCACGCCGTGTCTCCGTCTGCGATCATTCTCTTCGCGAATGGGTGGATGACTGGTCAATAGACGGATTTTGCATCCAAATGCTGAATGTCTTCGATGTGTGGATGTCTTCCGAATGAGAAGATGCTGTTGAGCACTGATTTCAGTCCCATCGCAAATAAATGGATTCATGCGACTGCAATGTGTGCCATGATCACAAGCAGATGTACCATTTGAGTTTTTTTTGCCTTCTTAACATTTCATGTTACAAACTTCTCTGGTCCCTTGGAAACTTTACACAGAAGGATTCAAGCACTTGATCGTGCGGACATGCCATGGTGGAGTTCAGAATATACTTTTAGATATATTGTGTGAAATGTTGCGAATAGAAACCATATTAATAATACATGTTTTTAGTCCATGATTTCAAATCGACAACTAAGTTGTAACATTAGTGCATCCAAACACATTTGTTTTGGTAGTGTTACGTTTGTGATAATGAAACAAATTTTGAATTTATTTACAACAAGTAACTATCATTACTGGATAATAAGTTGATTGTTTCAAAGAAAAGAAAAGAAAAGAAACAATACAAAACAAAACAAATTTTCGTTGTGTTAGTGAAAACTGATCTGGACATACCATTCAATAACAATGGAAAGGAGCATCTTCTCTTTAACTGTCAAGGAGCTTTGAACATATGAAGGAATTTTTAACGACCAATAATTGGAAAGATCAATTCTGAAAAAATTGGCGATGATGAAAATAACACGAGGTTCACCAATAGATTTGACTCCAGTTTTCAGAAACAAATTGAAATATAAAACTTCTAATAAAGCTGCAGAAGACTGCTAAACGGAGGCGAAATGATGGGGTTATTCTCAAGTGAAACAAGGAAAAGAAATTAGAAAAGTAAAAATCTTCAGCTTGTGAATGGGGATTCCTTTAGAGGCAAATGTACAACTACAAAAGTTCTCGGTTCAAGCCCTCATTCGCACTGCAGTGCAGTCCTTCATGTGATAAGAGTGGTTAGTGTGCATGCACAACTTGGAAAGACCTGCACAAGCACATGACAATGCCAACCATTGAATTTGAGATCCTCACAAACACTTCCAGTCAAATAACATTTCTACGAAAACCACAAGAAAGGATCGAGATGCAGATAGAAAGCACTAGCGATGATATAGTGCTCATCAAGTGAAGGATCCACAGAAAATATGCAATACCTGAAGAAGCAACATTCTAACACTAAACGGTAACAAAATTACAGATATATTTACTAAGTGCATAATTTCTTTCCATTCTCAACTGGGTTCCATAATACACAACAGAGGTGCACAAAAAAAAAAAAACAAACAAACAAACAAACAAACAAACAAACAAACAAAAACAAAAACAAAAACAAACACAAAATGACCAACTCCACTCACTCTGCAAAGGTTTTGATTCAGCTGCTAGAACAATAACAAGCAGGAGAATTCTTGAAAATACTTACCCTAAAGAATATTTGGAACCGCAGATGCAAAGCGAAGCCGTTGAGCAATCAATACCAGGATTCCAATCTAAACTCAAATTATCTTCTCTTCATAATCCTCTACGAATAAGATCAGAAGGAATTGACGATAGCGTAGAAAGCCATCTTCAGAAAACTAACAATTCAATTGAGCCGACATTCATATCGGCAATCCCAAAATTGAACAATACAGATCAAACCCTGTAACAAAAAAACTGCGTCAGTGGTAAACACACACATGAATACCAAACAGATGAGACAAAAAAAAAAAAAGGGAGAAAAAAGAACCCAACGATTGATTTTCTAAGTCAAATGAAGTACCTCATATGCTACCCTCTGCGAGCAACAAATTGGAGGATTATTTGAGAGTACATCTCAGCAAGTCAGACCTCCTATAGAAAGCTAACATATTACATCAAACTACAAAAGCTTTGAATGCTTCCAAGTCAGGCTTTATTTGCGATGGCATGTAAAAAGTATGGTCTAGCTTGAGAGGTACATACACGACATCATGACAAAAATACACCAAGATGAGTGAAAGATTCTCACGATCATCCTTGATCTCCCGTGCTAACGCTGTCCACCTTCTCAACAATCGTATATTCAGACTCCACATCACACGGAATTGATGCAGAAGGCGTTTGTTCTTGCGATACTGCAGACTCTCCATCCTTTACTTCTGGTCTATTTTCCTTTAATATATCTGGTTTCAAAGTAGGAACTATGCTACCTACATGTTTCCAGGTCAAATCCCACATACTATCCTGGCTTGGTGAAGTTGGCTGCACCAGGATTCCTTGAGAATGCATTACCTGCAATTAAAATTTTATGAGCACAGCGAAGTCGTGCATTTCATCACTGAACCATCAGAAGCCTAGGCAAAGATTCAATTACCTGCAAAATATTTCGAAGCAGCTCAGGTATAAGCTCCTGCAACTTTTCACTACGTTTGCCGCGAAATTTTGTCTTAATGAATATCTCCATATGGTTCAAAACTTGAAACCACGATGATTCGAAAGAAGGTAAGTTAACAAGCTGGGGAAGGAACTGTAAGTAAGACTTCGAAAGGAACTTGATTGATAAGACGAGTGTGTCCTCCATGCCTTTATATTCCTTTGAGTGCCTGACAGCAAGCTCCAGTAACTCATCCAGTAGATTCAACACTACCTGAAAAGGCAAAATAAAGGAACGTTTAAACACAAGGAAACAATGACATCGAGAGTAAAGCAATAGTTAACGCACTCTCTAACAACACCCAATGCAACATCCTCGCCTAACATTCACACTAAAGCATTCAACACACGAAAATAGGCCTGTACCTGGGCTTCGACATACTCCTATTCTAATAGACGACCCAAACAATAGACATTCTCATCCAAATATTAAAATTACAACAACAGTTTAGTCTTTCTGGACCACTGAACCAATCCAACTATCACAAATAAGCATTTGAGCAACGAACCTGCTTAAAAGATTGAGCCCACAATACTGGAGTCAAATTGAGAATCTCTGCTGCAGAAAGACAGCCCTGTAGACAAAGGATGGCATGATTTCGCACTTCTTCCCTCTGTTCTAAGCATAATTTCCTCAACCCTTGCGCCAAACGCAACCACATCTCCGTTAACTCCTGAGTATATCTGGAAGGTTCTTCAACATTTTCACCACTTGAAGCATCAGCACTCTCGGAGTGAACTTTAGACCACGTGGTAAGGCAACCCACTGAATCTGAGAGCAGATCCAACGCGCGCACTGACCGACCTGGTCCTCCAACACGGGCCTCTGCAAATGCACGTGCTGCATCTACACAGAGAACATAATTTGCAGGAGACAAATGAGCCCCGTCCTGCATAACATACGTAAGAGCCTCAAATCCTGGCTCAGAGGCTTCTGGGTGCCGAGCTGTTATGGACAGAAGGGATGTTACAGTTCGCCAGCCTATAGTTGACTTGATATGTGCTGCATTTGCCCGTACTAAGACCATTACTTCCTGGGTGATTCGTTCACAAAATGCGTCTGCAACCCGAGCATCAAGCTTCAAAATGAGCTGCAATGATCTGAGGAGCTCTTCCGCCAAATCTTCCTTATAAGGCAGTAGACGCTGACATACTCCAAGTAACCCAAAAACAGCCTTCTCAACCAATAAACCCGGGAAGACTGACGTCTGAATAATGCCGGCCATATGTTCATAAACCCCTTGCCACAGAAGCATGATGCGGTCTCGATTATTGAGGGTGACAGTAATAAGGAGTTCTAAGCAAAAGACTGCTGTATCCTCATCCTCTGTAGAACTTCCACTCCTGTGAGGCCTCCCAGCGGCCCATACAAACGCTCTCGCTAATTGTAACAGTGACTCAGCTTGCAAAAACTTGCTGTCAGTAAATATCTGGTCTATGCGACAAGATTCAACGCATTGTAGTGCGCGCTGCTGAGCAGCCAGCTCTTCTTCAGTAGGGGCTGAGGGTGGTTCATCAGACTCCAACGAGAGCAACTGACTGAACCTCGACATTAAGCCGGTGTTGCGACGTCGATGACGAATAAGATCAGGCATTGGAGCCACTGTCGACGAGGATCCAGCAAGTTTGCTTGATGTGGAGTCGCCTGCAATGTTTCAAACAAAACATGATTTTCATGAGATTCATCGAAGAAAATAAGAAAACTCCGGAAACTGCTCCACAAACTCAATATTCCCGATTTGATGCACTAGCAGAAACCATGACCTCACATCGTGCAGAGATTTACTAACAAAAGCATGTCAAAAGCATTTCACAGAGCAAATGAAGTTAAAAGTATCTATTCTCACCTCGAGCATCAGTGTCCTCTACTGATTCGTTAGCAACTCGAGCAGGCAAGAGCCCCAATTTCTGCAGCCGCAAAATGCAGTCTAAAATGTTTCGCCAACCTGTCCTGATAAAATCCCCATATTTATTGGCAATATCGAACACTGCAACAGTTGCCATCCGCGCTTTCTTATCATCCCCAAATGCGATAACAGGTTCCTCATCAGAAGAAAAAGGATTAAGTAAAGTTGTGAACTTGCAGAGAGAAACTACAAGATCATCCACCACATCCTCCAGGCGATGACTAGCAGATATTTTGGCTGCTGCAAGGAAGCCGTCGATACATAATTGCATAACCTACACATGTTGGCAGAACTATTAATTACACTCTGCCAGTGGATGAGGGTACCTACATACAAATGAGCATATACGACGATAAACTATTGCATTCTATTATTAGCCGTACCTCTTCATCCTCGGCATGATCAAACACAACCGAAATGGCGGCAATGGAAGGACCAGACAAGACGGGAAACATGTCATAATCTAAAAGAGGCCGCTCATCACAAGTAATGTACGGTGTAGTAATCATTGATCGACGAATCAGATCGATCCACCGACTGTGAGTCATTTCCGCAACACCAGCCCCACTATCATATGAAATGCGAATTTCATCTCGCACAATTGAGTGATACAATTCAGACAGCATAGATCGTGGCAAGTCCTGTCCGTCATTAATCTTTCGCAAATTCTTAATAAAATCGTCCTCTGTCATTTTCTTCCGAACCTGAGTCCAAAAATAACGTCAACCATTTCCCCAGATTTTCCAAGAACTGAACGAGAATCAAAATAGTTGATTCATGTTCTCAATTACAACTATGCCTGGTCCTGCTAAACAAACTAAAAGAATCAGCTATGATGATCCTGAAGGTACAGACTAGATGCAAAATATATACTCAGCAGTGATGTTCAGGAGAAATGTAGCTCAAAACCTTTATGTACACACTCTACACAAGCAAAGGTTTCTTCAAGAGTAAACTCAAGTTCTATTTATTGCCAGACTTCATTAACAAAAACTTCTTGCAATCGCGTATATTAAACAGCAACACGAACAAGAACAATTTGCCAAACGTCCAGAAGGTGGAAATAAAAGGAAGTAATTGCACCAGAAAGGGACAAACCTGCTTGTTATGTTGATCGGTGTTCAACATGATGACTGAGTAAGATAGAACAAAAGCCGCATCCTTGCTGGCAAGAATACCCTTGGATTGCTGATAATACCTATCCGCAAAGGCTTCCACTATTCTATGGATCTTCTGTGCTTCACCGGGCAATCGAAAACCCTCCAAGAAAACACGCAAAGCCGCATCTATACCCATGTTACTGAAATCAAAAGTTTGGGCAAATTCATCTAAGACTCGGAGACAAAACTCATCAGGGTTTCCAAGATAATCTCCAATTACGCTCTTGTTTAATCCTGTGCAATACCTGTAGTGAAGGCCGCAACATATTTGCTTATGTCAAGAACAAAAAAGTAGTATCAAAATACCTGCTTCACGTGAAGAGTTCACGTGACAAGGCTGTCAAAGACACAAGCATATACGCATCATCATAATACTAGTCAAAAGTAATGTACTTCCAAATGACTTAACATATAGGGAACACACATAACCATCAATCAGTACTATTACTACAAAACTATTTGTCCAAATGCATAACTCTTTGAAAAAGTAAAATACCTGATGAAACAAGCCAAGCTTTTAGGGTCTGGCTCAGAAGGAAGCAATTGCATCCCTTGTAAAAACTCAAGGCCCTTCTTAGGATCTCGATTGAAGTGATCAGCACCCACCATAAGCCGGCCTTTAATGTATTTTTGATGTTTCACAAATTGAACCCAACTCAAGGGATCATCATAATTTTCACATTTCAATGTCCAGAATGGAACATATTCCGGGTTATCACCAGCCAGGTTACTTGGCGAAGTACTTGATGCAAATGCAGGAACTGCAGTATCAACCCTGTCTGCCATACTTTGTGCCACGGCAAGCAAACCTTCTAGTGCTAGTACATGCATAGCTGATAGGGGGCAGTTCACCGGAAAGGCATTCTTTGAAAGCAGATTTACTAGATCTTCGAATGTGTTGCTTAGGGAGGTATCACAGTCAAAATTAGCATACATTTCAGGCATGAATGTAGGCTGCCTGCAAAAGTCAACAAGAGCCTCCAGAGCAACTTCTTGCTGCTGGTACGTAGCCCCATACTTGCCTGATGCAAGACGGATCAAAACGAAGGAGAAGAAAGCCTCTAACTGAAGCTTCATTAGCACCCGGAGATGATGGTACAGGTTTAAAACGACTCCAAAAACCAACGACAGCACTAATGGGTTCTGCGAAAGTCCAATCTCCATCAAATTCCTGAAGAGTTCATCCTGGATAAGGGCTAATAACTTAGGGTGGTTCCTGAAGGCCTCGCCTCCCAGCTCAAGTGCGGAATTAATCAGCATCAGGGCAAATTGTGGAGAATCCTCATCACTGGCTAATACAAGCTGGCCAAGGCCTTGGGGATCCGCGATATTAAGAAGCGAGCATAAGAAACTGAAAATCTCGACCATGCATGGAACACCATAAGCTGCAAAATTGGAATCCTCAGCGCTACCGACGGTCCCAATGGCAGCATGACCGCCTCCATCCTTTCCATCCAGAGGAGGAAGTACAATGGTATCCTCTTCGGAGGATTTATCACTGATCTTCAAAGCTCGTCCAGCGTCTGCAACGTCCAAACTACCGTCCCTGAAAGGGTTTTCATCTGTCTGTACTGGACCACTGAAGCTATTTCCCTCTTCTGATCCAGACTGGTCCTGTCAACAATCAGGCGTTGATAAATTAAGCTTCTCAATCATCTTAACACAAGGGTCAAAGAAAGTGGTATACTACTGTTTAATATCTCTAACCACATCAACCAAAAGTTACAAATATCACAAGAGAAGAAGAGATTGCTCGGCATAGTTGATTAGATGCATCTTCAGACCACAATGTAAACCTTTACCAAGCCTTTAGATTTAATCAATGAAATAGCTTACACATCTATTAAAAAACTATTTGTAAAATCCCGTTTTAACTGTGCGTGGAATATGGCAGCAAATTCTGAAAGATTGTGTCCACGCCCAAGAGGACTTACAGCGACATTTCCAGGATTGGAGCTAATTTCCGTGCTGAGGGGAGTAACACCAATCGTCAGGTTCGTTGGTTTAAGGGTAGGCAAATGAGAAAAGACAGCTCGGACAAGCTCATGCATTGTGAAGCGAGCTGTACGCTGCAAGAGCTCCCCCTTGCTGCCAGCTTGATGAACCACCCGGAAAGTGGTGTTCACAATGTTGCAAACATCACGATCACTCAACAACGCCCCGGCCTCGCTTTTCATGCAGGCTAATAATACCTACAAACCACACTATCGACATCAGTAACTGATAAAAAAAAAAAAAAAAAAAAAAAAAAAGGGGGGGGGGGGGGAACAAAACACAAACACAGCAGAACAGAATGCTGAAGAGAAGTGTCTAACGTCTGGAACGATCTATCCACAACTAACAAGAGTACCACGATTCCATGTCCATGACATATTAAAATACAACAGAAGAACAAAGGAGAATTTAAACTCTCTTCGGTCATGCTTGAAGCATGATAACTAGTGCCGGAAATTCTACGTATAAACCTACAAAACGCATATAGAAGCAATGCCTTCCCGGACTGTAACTACAAGATTTCAGGAAACCACACGGTACTGCTGAACTAACTACCACGAACCACCAAATTCACAGGAATTGTGATGAAGCTAATGTGTGAACATAAATTCGGCTCTCTTAAGTCGGAAAGATAATACGAGGGAGTTCTAAAAGCCACACACCTGCAAAATCTTCATTAACACAACCTCCTCTGAAGCCGGGTCGGTGACTTCAAACCGACAACTCGTTACAGAATCCACAACCGTGTGCATTGCGATGTCCACGTGAGCCGTGTTTAAATCAAAAAAATTCAAGTGAACCATCTTGTACACTGCAGAGAGTGCCACACCCGTAATCTGTGCCCCGGTCTCATCCGACCGTATTACATCCAGGAAGGGAGAGAGGTACAGACAAGGATCGATGGATGGCCACGGCTGCCGCCAAGTAAACACAAGTCGTCGAAGCCCCTTCAAAGACCTGATGAGTGGATGTTCCAGCTGATCATCGCTTGCAGAAAACCGACCCGCCCATCGTGCATTGCGACGCATCACGGCCAGCACAGCACTGACCTCATAATTCACCATGCACGCCAGAGACACTCTGCTTCTCCTCGCTTGCTCTCTCCCCTCGCCTTCCATCTCCAGGCCTGGGGTTCCAATAGATCGGCTCATTGCCACATTCAATTCCTCAGAAAGCTAGCAACGCCATGCACTTTCACATTCCCTTCAAAACCCTGGCACCACACCTCCGCTTCCAAAGCAGTCACTCAAGCGAAACGATCCTTCACGCTCGTTCTAATGGCTCTACCCCGGTGCCCTAACTTGGTCCAACTCCAATGCCAACCCCTAGAACCAGCTGAACTCTCGACGAAAGCACTTCCAACCAAACTAGGATCAACAGCACCAACTCATTCAATGCAAGAGCACCGTCGTGCGGACCCCGATCTCAGCGTCGTCTCCTCTCCTCTCCTCCAAGTTGCAAGTACCCGCATCCAACTGAAATAAGCTTTTTCGGACGAATTTCTTCACGGTATGAACGCACAGCAAATATACTGTAATTTTTATTTTAGAAACTCTACCAGTACGCGAGCGAGCTTGCAGAAGCTGTCAAGGTACTCCGAGGAGACCCGCACTGCAAAATGCCGCAAAGGATGCGGTCTAATGCAACAACGAGGGCGCCATAGCCACGGTCAGTCCGTCTTCCTTAAGCTTTAGCCAATGACGACCCAGTGTTCTCCTCGTTAAACATTGACCCTGATACACGGGTAACACCCGCGTCATTCCGGGTAAATCTGTTCATTTTTATAGAAAAGTCTCCATTGAGTGGTGCTGGGGTGTTCCCATACATACCGTAGCCTATGCCCGACCCATCGGTACCGTCGGTTGTAGGTCAAGCCTAAGTAATTTAAAGTAACTAAAACTTTACTGCAGGCGAAGGTGCATTATGAACTATTAGAAGGGTCTAATTCCAGAAGTTGTTAAACTTCTATTATTAAAAAAAAATACCAACTTCATGAAGAGCATATGTAGAAATATAATCAAATGCTTCCATCTCAATTCACATCCAAAAACAACAAATTATAAATGTGTCTGAGGAGAGAGAGAGAAGCTATGGTAACCAATGAAGATAAAACATATATATATATATATATATATATATATTTTCATCTATTGAGTTAAAAGATGTGTGTTACATATTGGATTACAATAAAAAATTATTTTATTAATAGAATATAAAGAAATAAAATGTAAAATTTAGCTTACTCGTATTTTTAAAATAAAAATTACGACTACGAAATGTGTGTTAAATTTTACAAATATATATATATATATATATATATATATATCTTACAAATTATAATGTGAACAACAACAATAATGACATTTTAAAAAATAAATCATTCATAGAAACAATAATTTAACATTAGAAAGAAAGTGTTGAGTTATTTTTGTTATTGGTGCTTTTGAAAAGGTGTGTTGTAAATTTGGGAGCACTTAAAGATTTTGTGGGCAACTCCAACCAAGCAAAAACAATATTTAAAGTGGATCATCCAAGGATGGAAATGCCACCTTGGTAATTTTGAGGTGGAAATGATCATTAGGGCAGCTCAACTACAAAGCTGTCGTGTCTTTCCATAACCTTTGATGTGCATGAAGTCCAACCTTATGTAGTTGAGCAATAATAAGGAGTTATTGAAATTTAAAAACTTTTGTAATGAAAAATGAAAATATTTTACATGTATATAATTTTATGAGTGAAAAAATAGTATACTTTACAAAGTTATACTTACAAAACTTTTAATAATGTCAAAGAAAGGTTTCAACACAAAAGGATATCCTTATATTTCAATGCGACAAATAACCTAAAGGTGGATTTTTCTAAATTTATTCAAGCATAGAAATTAAACATTTTTTTTTTCCTTTTACAATACATTGATTTATTTTAATTAAAGTTATTATATCTAAAAAACTTTAAACTAAGGCTTGAAGTTATAACCATTATACTAAAACAAATAGTCCTTAGGTTGCACATGTTTTTTTTTCATAAAGTAAACATAAAAAATAAAAAATAATAATAATTCATTAAAAATAATCCTTTAAAAAATATATATCTTGAAAAATATGTATTGAGAGAGACACACATGCACAGTCAGCATAGAACATGTATGCTCTATTACTGAAACACTTGTTATTTTTAAACATGACTTAAGTACATAATTTTTTCTCAAACTAAAATATTGTACTAATTTCATTTTCACAAAATATAAATATACAAAAAATGTATTACTGAAGGAGGGATGTGCATTAAAGTGTAAATACAAGTAAACATACAACTTTGAAACAATTGAGATTGGACGCTTAGTTTGAATTTTAAAATAACACTAAGAACACGAAAATTATTTTTGAGTTAATTGTCTCATGAACCTCAAGTTGAAACTTTTCATAGAGTCAAAAAGAAAAGAAAAGAAAATAGAAAGAAAGAAATTAAGAAAAAAGGGAAAAAATAAGAGGAGAAAACTCTGAATTTACATAAACAACAGGATTTGAATTCAGCGGGATTTAAATCTGAAACAATCGTCTTCATTTTTTTCATTAGAGACCCATTAAAAGACAATACTATTTTTTCCTTAACATATATATATATATATATATATATATAAACCTCAAAATCACTTTCATTCCGAAGAACAAGTTAATGCAGTTAAAATATCAAGACTAAACGGACACTCGTTTGGTGGATGTAAATCATTGAGTGATGAAAATCATCGGGTGCTAGAGAACAAACTTGAACTTTAAAGTGGGCGGTTATGGGTTCTGAGGGCTATGCGGCTATAGGTACCATAACCCAATACCGTGCAACTTCCTGCTGCTTCCGGATCCACTTCATCGTGCAATATCGATTCATGACCACCACCGCATGTGAACTCGGAGATGGAAATTTGTCAGCGATTGTTCAATGCCGAGTGAGTTGGAATTGGCGTTCCTCGCATCGATCTGCACCCTTGACAGTCCAGATTACTGCAGACAGAACTATGCGATTCGGGCGTGTTCAATCGCAGGATGTAGGATGGACGAAGCGAACCCAATCGACTGTCATGCGATCGGAAGAGTGTCTAGTTTACTCGAGAATTTTCGCCACAAGCTTGTGATGGACCAGTTTTTTGCAATAGATGGGGTTGGCATGATGTGCGTGAGTTCGTGAGACTTGGCATTTCGAAGGGCTGGACAATGGCGACGGAGAGCTGGGAGTGCGTGGAGGAGAGCGCCCCGCACTCAGAGTCGGAGGATGCCTGCGGTAGCACTGTCTCGTATGCATACTCTGTCTGTGGTTCTGCAAGCGAAGGTACCAGTCGCACTTCATCTCATGTTCCGACTTTTGAGTGTTTTGAAGGACGAGATCAGAGAGGCAAGCAGAAACTGATGGGATCTATTGGAGAATTTCTACAGGAAGCAAACATCCTTCCGTGGTTCCGAATTCTGATCGAATCTACATCAACATGGTGGAAAGGATGAAGCAACGCAAACAGAGACGTCGGGAACTTGAGATGCAATATGAAATTGCTCGGAAGCAGAAAGAGGTACTTGACAATTCACTCATCGTGACATTGTTCTCACAGCCCTTGACCTTTAAGGCATTCCTTTTGAGTCTGTATACTGTCGAATAGTGATGTAGCAAATGCACCATGCAGTCAGACCTAGAACGAGAGGCTAGATTTGTTTCCTACAAAACCCTAACTCCGTGTTGCCTTTTCTTGTTCTTCTGACATTAAATAAACGCAGATGTTCCTAAATATTTATTTACTCTTAGGGGACTGTCGAATGCGATAACTTGATCATGTAAGCTTCTTGGACAGTTGTGTAGATTCTTTAAGATATTAAAACGTTCAGAAATTTTTAGATGACCGCTCTTTTAATGAGGTAAAATAGCTGGATTTAGCATGTGATTCGAGCATCCACGGTTTCACTTTCCCAGAGCCACGTGGGCCTAAATGACCAAAGCCCTAAACCTTGAAAGGGAAATCTGTGTTGCTGAAGTGCACATGTTACTTGAGGACAGCACACCATGATTCCCTGGAATTATGAGTGTCTGCTTTGTGGTTAAATAGGAGAAGAAGCGACTGACAGAGGAGCTGAAGTTGACCATGGATAAGCTCCAGAGAAAGGCGATGGTGGAACAGAGAAAGAATCAGGAGGAGAGGCAGAATCAGGTATCCTTATGCCCCACCTAGTCCAAGATCCTGCTCGTTTGAAGTCCAACTGTCTCCTTCAGTCGTCTCGATCATTATTTTGTTGATGTTACTCGTAGTCTGTAGAGATTGCGGGATCGATTACATGAGCCTTTGTTTCACAGCTGAGTATTATGCCTTTGCAACAGTTTCATGAAGTTATACCAACAGTCGTCTTTATGCAACTTCCTGGTGCAAGGTCAATCTAAATGTGCTCTGAAATTGTGGTGTGGTTTGCCTCAGCTTAAGAGGCAAGCTCAGCAAAGGCGTGAATTGCTATGCCAGCAGCGAGAGCTGGCCAACCTGCATAACTGTCGAAGAATTCTTATGCACTATGGTTTGCTGCCCTGGCGCCGCTTTATGCTTGAATGCAGGTATTATTTTGGAGCTCTTAGCACTCTCCGTCTTCATGGCATAGGGTTTCGATAAATCTCAAGCATTGATATTCTACATTTTTTGAAAAGAAATTATTAGTGGTTGGTCCTCGCTGGAATCAGGCTGGAAGTATTAATGTGCTTGCGTGTTATTTTGATTCATAGGAGAAGCGTAAAGGCTGCTTCGCTGAACTATGAACGCCTCCTTATGAAGCGAGCACTGCAATGGCTTCACATCCGCTACATTCAAGGGAAGTTATCTCCAAAACAACGTGCTCGTAGTCTTATTTTGCGCGCACAAGCTATGCAATCGAGGTGGAGAGTAAGATATTTTTGGCATTATTGGCTTGAAGGACGGCGAGGAGATCACCTTCATCAACAGCTCTTCCTAAAGCGTTGTTGGAAGGCGCTGAAAGAGGTGTTATATCGCTACTCTCCCCTTCTTGACGTTTTGAAGCTGCTGTTCTCAAAACATGAGAATGCATCCATGATGAACTGAAAATGACTTATTTAATGATGTGAGTTCACAATCTCTTGCAGATCTTGGAATACAGCAGAAAACTAGGTCGAATAGGAGACCAAAGGAACCGTTTCCTGCTTTTGTCAAGGTCATGGTCAAAGTGGACTGATTATGCTAGAAGGGTGAAGAGTTTTCAGCTCTTGAAGTACTTGGAGATTGAACAGATTGCATCTCTTCATTGGAAGCGGTATGCAAAACTATATCGCATTTCTGTTCGAGGGATTATTAACAGGGTGTGACGCTTCTGTGGCCATCTGCCGGCCGCCGACTGATAGTTGCCAAAATCGGTGTAAGTTAGCGGACTGTTCATGCTCTTTGCAGGATAACTTATGTTCGGATTTTAAGAGCATGGAAAGACGGAATGGGGGTCGTGAGGCAAGAGAAGAAGCGGATGAAACAGAGGGCCGAGGCATGGACCAAAATTCACTCCTGGCTAGATGAATATGAAGAAGTAAGCTGAATTGCAGGACCAAAGTGATTATTAGAGTCCATTTGAGTATTCAATCTGGCATTATCATGTAGTGGATCTAAAGGCGTCGTTATGAGTTGGAAACCTCGTTGCAAGCTAGTATTGTGTTCGAGAACTTATCTTTCACTACCCGCAAGGTGAGAAATGTAATCTCTATTTTCCCAAGGTTTATGTGTGGCTTTATTGATCGTTTGCCTCCCAGCATTTTAATACTCGACAACGCTTTTGTAGACTTAATGATGCAAAAGTATTTCGAAGGACATGTTATGATGAAGTTTTGCTTGAACGAAGTAGAGCGAAAATTATATTTTGGAAATAGGGTAGCCAATACTTACTGGAATCAGTGTGTCTGCAACAGAACGCTGGCAAGACTTTTGCCATCAATAGCAGCTGATCAATATTGCATCGCGGTAAAAATTCACAATATCCAGATCGGATCAACAACTTCAGAGGTACGAGACAGAACTCAGAAAATTGTGCACTTGTCCAGGACACCGAAATCTCAAATTTTCAGAACTCGCTGTCGTTCTTAAAAAAATCAGGAACCCTACTCACGGCGCATTACCCTGCGAATACACTGAAGGAATACGCGGATGAGCATGCTGTGGGATGGTAAATGCTACTGAATTTCCGGAGTGACTACAAGTCGCCCTGAATCACTTGAAATTACTTCGAAAAAGGCGTCATGCGGATGTCACAAACCTTACGAAGCAATTGAATGCTCGAGGTCAGATGACCTACAGGAAATACCTTTGATGCGATGAGATTATATCGATTGCTGCCCAAATAATGGCTTTCAAAAACAAACAAAACAAAATAAAAGCAAAACAAGTTAATAATAAACTGCAAACGATTCCAGATAGGTTTCAGAACTTGCAGTTTTAGCCGTTGGGTATCATTCCTCAGAAGCTGAAGAATTGTAAAGTTCCAGTCTTTAGCAATGCCCGAAATCCTTGTTATACACCTCCTGCACCTTCCTCAGCAAGTTGAATGGCTGAAAGGACGTTCTAACACTTGGGTTCAGTATATGTACATACGCTCAGTTGGTTGGATTACATCAGTACACCTTCTCTCATAGCTAAATAAATCAATAAATAAATAAAATAATATTATATTATATTATATAAGAGGAAACCCATGCAGTTGGCCACGATAACTGTGTAAAAAGTTTAAAACCAACGACACATTCATCCAACAGCAACACCTATTGAAACTGTGTGCAAACCACAGTCTTCCAAGTAAACCTCAAAATTAACACTCATAATTATTCATCTCCTTCAGACTCACACTTGAATTCAATTGCCAACCTCAAACATCATCGTAGATGCCAACTAGTGCCCCAACAAACTGTAGAGTCAACACTCCATTCTAATCTCTCCACATGCCCCTAGCTCCAATCTCCCATGCAACACATCCCTTTGTGAGAAAACCACCTGCTCAATTTCACTCACTTTTTCTCCTCTCTCTCTCTTCCCCTCTCTTTCTCTGTGTGTTGCACCAGGTTGTGGATTGATGACACAGCAAATACCATGGCCCACCATTGCTTCCCACCTCATTGGTTGTGCCGCATTAGACAAAGAGAAAGCAAGCAAATCCTTTGCAAACATAATAAATGATGAGGTAGTAGGTGAATACAAAAACATCATGTGATAAACATACCTTTGTTTTTCTACATCCCATTTAGCTACTACCATTGGAGCTGATACTCATAAATAAGGTTCAACAATGTTCTTACAACAACATTGTAATATATATACTCTCCACTAGCCTTGATTCTTGTTGATTTCCATGCTTCTCTTTTGACAAATTGATACTATTGCTATTGATTAATTCCAAGAAAAATAAGAGTTAATAAAGTTACGGGCCTTGTAAATTGCTATATGGAAACTACTTTGATTCACTTTTAATGAAATAAATGAGAGATGCAACTGATCAAAAGGTTGTTTTGTCTCCTCTTGTTTATTCCTTGAGTTTTTTTATATAATAGATATATATATAGAAAGAGTAGTAAGAAAAAAACTTTCTCAAAATTTTTTCTTGGCAATGACAATCTTTATACATATTCAAAAATGTAATTATAATTTTATAGTTATTACAACATAAAAATTGAGTTTTGATAAGATTTCAAGAATTTGTAAGAATATGCATGTTAGGTTTTATAATCTTTTATTATAAAAATAAAAATTTAGATCAAGATTGAGATTTTCTTGACACACACAAAACAGTAAAAAAATGAATGTTACTACATTTGTAATTTATTAATATGTAGCTAACATGTATATAATACATGAAAATATCAAATTTTGTTTATTATTGCTCCTTCACTTCTAAGAATCTTACCATTTTAAAATTTAAAAATAAGAAAAAATAAATTACAAATGTTTCATGTATTCAACATATATATGGAATACTTTATAGATAGTACAATGTTTTTTTAGCAAAATTAATTAATATCATATTTAAAATAAAAAATATTATAAGTGAAATCAATTAAGAATAAAGTTAAAAATATTTTTTTTATTATTTTTTAAAAAATTAAATATAAAATTTTAAAGAATATATTTTAAATTTAATCTTCAAATCAATATTATTAAATAGATTATTATCTAAAGAAGATTGAATTTAAACAAAAGATTTTTTTTTCTTATTTATTATTTATCTTAAGAACAAAAAAATTAAGAATATTTTTTATCTTTAAATAATATAAGTATTAAAGTAAAAATGAAATTAATTTAAAATATATTCTACAAAAAACTCTACTATAGCATGTAGATATTTTTTAAAAAAAAATGTTAAAGATTCAAAACTAAATATATATAAGATTCAAAAAATATATATTTTTTTTCTATCTTTCTTTGAGACTTATCTCACTTACTTATTTTAATCCTTCATATTTTTGTTCTTAATAATTTGACAAGAATATTATTTATTTATTTATTTATTTTTGTATAAGTGAATAGATTATTATTATTTTTATTGAATTTTTAAGATTGAAAACTATGTACTTTTAAACCAATATTTTCTAATTTTTAAAAGTTGATTATTTCTTAAAAGAGAGTAAAAAAAATTTTTTTTTTAGAAATTTTTATTTGATATTAGAAGTTACAAAATTTTCTCTTCTAATTTGATATATATATATATATATATATATATATATATATATATATATATATATATATAAATTTTTTAATATTTTCTATTATAGAGATGGAAAAAAATATACTTAATAGAAGTGAAAATAGATTTGCAATTATTGTAGTTTTTCATAAACTTGTTAAGACTTTTAGAAAGAAATTTTTATATATTATTAATATAAATCATATAAGTAATATTCCTATATCTATGAAAGAATTCTATAATAAGATTTAATGTCTATGCCAAAAAATCGCACAATTGAGAAAAGCAAGTAGATCAACTTTACAAATGAATCCAAAAAGTTTTCCTACTATAAATGTCAATAAGGCAAAAAAAACATGTGCCACAAAAGTTTGATGGAATAAAATTAAAATTTTGAGGATTTTTATAATAAATTATGTTCTATTTAAAATTACGTCTTTCTCCATATCTTCATAGATATACTTAAGTTGGATTTATATGCATACTTCTATTAGGAATAACTCTCTTTTTGTTTGCACCTTTGATAGGAAATGATTGGCAACTCATATATGAGCTTTATTCATTCTTAGAAGTACTTATAATTTTATTTAGAAAAAGATGGATATAGAATAATAGTGACAAAACTTCTACTTTGTAATAAAGATTTCAATCAACTACTATCTATGCTACCAAATTCCAAAACCATACTTGCAACTTGAATTAAAATCATAAATTCTTTATTAGTTAATTTTGATATGCATTAAAAGATAATGCTGAAGATTTATTTTTAATAATATCAAAAGAAAATTCATTGAAATAATTTATTTTACAAGCCATTGTAGACAACAATTTTCTTTTTAAAAGACTCTAAAAATAAAGATTTGTTTAGAGAAAAATAAATCAAGTTACAACAACAACTCCTAAATTTCCAAAAATTATTCATCAAGGTTGAAATCTATAGAAATTGATACAATACATTTTAAATCTTTCACTAAGTAAAAAAATGAATCAACAGTACTAAAAAGGGTTTTGCTTATATTATAGAGAATCTAAACACTTCACTTTGCTTAATATTATGCAAAGAAATAATGAAACCACAAAATAAAGAGCATGCTTGTTAAAAAAGACAATATATTTGAAAACAAATTTGTTTAATTATTATAGAGATTTTGTAGCTAGAATCTTATAAAATATCTAATGAAGGTCTTATTTTTTCTTTAAAATATTCACCTTCTTTTAAAATTTGATATTTATTTAGGACCTAAAAATAAAAAATTATTTATCTTCTCAAAATTGAAAGTCTCAACATATTTTTTTATATAAAGACTTTGTTAAAAAATATAGTTGATTATCTTTTATCTTTTGGAGATGCTATTTATCAAACTATTATTGCAGAAATAACAAAAAATGGTCATAATAATTTAGTAATATTTATATTATGATATTTTTTTTAATTTTTTAATTTTAGATTTATCATGGCTAAAATAATATAAAACTTAGATAAATTAGATTTCTTATGATCTCAAATTTTTTGATCGCATAATCAATATTTTTTTAACAAAATAAAAAAATTATGAATCTAATACAATTAAATATTTATTTGTCAATCCAACAACTTTCATGCATGTAAGCTCTAAAAAAAAGTTATTTTTTATTATTTATACCACATCTATTTCTAATAGAGAAAAGACTTCAAGTAACATTCCAATTCAATATAAGAATAATCAAGATATTTAAATATATATATATATATATATATATATATATATATATATATATATATATGTTTCTAAGGCATTGTCCTTATGATTTCTTAATTGACTTCCTAGAAGGAATTTAACTACCATTTGGATCAATCTACAATTTATTACAAAATAAATTAGAATCATTTAAAGAATATATTAATTAAAATTCAATTAAGAACTCTATACATTATTCAAAATATCTATGTATAGTTCCTAGCTTATTTGTGAAAAAAATAGATTATTATAGATGTGTATAGTTTATTAAAGACTTTAAAAAATTAATTTAAAAATAGATACCTTCTATCTTTGATATTAAGACTTTTTAGTCAATTAAATCAAATAAAGGTCTATATTAAAACAAATCTACAAAGAGCAAACAACTTGGTAAATATTAAAAAAAAGATGAATAAAAGATGGCATTTTAAACCTAGTATTGACCTTTTAAATGTAATGACATATCTTTTGTACTCATAATTATGTCAAATACTTTTTAATATCTAATAAATAATATTTTAAAATATTTTTAATATTATTTTTTAATTTTTAATTTAAATAAAATTTAATCTATTTTAAAAACATACAAGAGCAAAAAATTTATATTCTTTGTTTATTACAAAAACTTAAAGATATAAGACTATATACCAAAATAGAGAAGTATAAATTTTACATAACTCAAGTTGATTTTTTAGGATATATTATTTTAAATGATGGCTTTATGATAGATCCTAAAAGAATTCAAACTATCATAGATTGGAAGATTTAAAGAATAATAATAGATATCTAATTTTTTTTTGAAATTTTCCAATTATTATCAAAATTCTATCAATTTTTTTTTCAAGTTATAATTTTATTTATATATTTTACTTGTAAAGTTGAGTAGAAAAAAAATAAAGCAACATTTAAAACATTGAAGGTTATTTTTATAACAACTCTAATATTGTATTACATTGATTTTTTAAATTATTTTTTGATAGAAATAGATTCAACAAATTTTATCTTTGATGAAATATTGTTACAAATTGAAGTTGATAATTTCCACCTTATAGCTTTATATTCAAAAAGAATTCAACAATAGAAATTAATTATAAGATCTATAATAAAGAATTTTTTATAATTATAAATTTATTCTAATTATAGCACCATATAAATCCAAGATTATATATCTAAATTTT